CATATATTTTTTTTGTGCAAAACACTTGTATTTATGCCTCGTATCAGGGCCGGTCCTGTCTATTTTTGGGCCTATGGGCGAGATAATATTTTAGGCTTATATTCAAGACAAATATTAAACTATATTTATTTAAAATAATAAATATAATAAAATCATCCAATAAATTGAAAGTCATTAAATAAAAACGAAACTCATTTCGTTATTATTATTTAAATTACATATTTGGTGAAAAGTAACAACACAAGTATCACATAAAAAGAAAAACAATACTTAAAAATGTTTCTTACGGAATTTTCAAGATTCAATTTTTAACAAAAACAAAAAATTCCACTGATCCCTTCTAACTTAACCCTGTCTTTTTCTATAAACATTCAACATTTTTACTGCGGCAAATTCTCTCGACTCTTTCTCTCTCTAGGGTGGATTTCCACCACTAGGGTTTTTTTCCTCCGCTATCATTTGTAACGAGGAGCGGTTGCCACAGGTGGGTTTAAGCGTACAGAGTTTCTTCTTCCGCCATCAATTATGCGTTTTCTTCTTCTTCTTTTGCTTGGCGAGATTAAGCAGAAGGAAGATGATGCTTGGTCTCTGTCTGTCGAAGGTTGTGCAGGGACGGAAGATGGATGTGTGGTCTCAGGTGGCCAAAGATCATGGACAAAGTGTGGGGCTAGAAGTTGCAATAGATCTGAATTTGAGATCATTTGTGTTACGAGGCGACAAAGGAAGCTTGATAGAGAACATGATTAATAAGAGGCATGATGAGGAATAAACTACAATATTGCTGGATCGTCACTCTCATGAACCGCCGCCATGGAGTGCATGAGAGTCTAGGGTTTGGAAATGTCTTTTTAATTTTACTGTTTGCTTGCAATTTATTTTTCATTATCATACTGTTTATTTTTCTGCGTGCTGATTACTTTTATTATTGTAAGACTTTTGCATTAGGTTTGAGTGATAGGATCCGGAGGTCTCCTTTAACCGTCTTTGGCTCATGTAAGCCCATTATAGGATCAACGAGTTATATTGCTTCTCTGAAGGTGATTGACTCTAAGTCTGGTTCGATGGCTGACAGTTGTGTGTGGTCCTTATATCGTTTTAACCCCTTTCTGAATGCTAATGCTATGATATCATTGTAAGCCCCCCTCTTCCAAAAAAAAAAACTTAACCCTGTCTTCCTGATTCACCAATTTTATCAAGAATAATTTATTGATCACAGATGGATTGTTTAAAGCCTTGAAAGAATAAGTTTTTTGTCACCAACCGCCGTTTGGGCTCCTCGATTGTTTGGCTTCAGTTCTTAACAAATTGCTGAGGCGCTCACCACTTTGCACGTTCTTTACTCTTGTTGATATTGGAATTTGGAAACAACAAATCAATTTGGATGGACTTTGCGAATTGAGAGTTTTGGGCTTCGGAAGCCTAACATAACTTGGTAATATTGTAATTAAAAGGATTATAAAACCTAAAGATCCGAAGAAAATTGAGAGTGATGTGAGTTTTCTCACACTTAAAAATGTAGTAGAATAGTGGTTGAAGTATGAGTATCGTCTCCACAGGGACGGACAAAAGGGAAATAAGAATTAACTAAATTCAGCGATTAAATAAGAAATAAAATAAATGCAATGGTGCGAGATTGATTGGTTTGGAAAATTAAATGCAGAATAACGAATAAAAGTAGATTGGTTTCTTCTTAATTAACAACGAAGGAAACATGGATTGATTCCGGGGTGACCAGATTTCTGGCAGATCAGGCTTAATTAAATAAAATTAATTTATTTGAGCCTAGCTAATCATTACTAAGTTCTTACCGCTCTCGCGGCGTATAGTACAATAATTTAGGGGACCGGGTTGATCTCTCATGCGACAGGATCCTAAATTATTGCCCAAACGAGCGAGCTTACGACCCCTTAATCGCTACTAATCTCTTAGCGAGCGATTAAGTATGTGTGAATGTGTCCTGGAATAAACTAGATCTCTCTTAATTTATTCTATAAACAATTGTAATTCTAGTTGCGGTTCCAGGTTACAAAAGATATCACGTAAATTATTCAAACACAAATTAAATGGCATTCATGCGATTAATCCATCAAAAAACTAGCCATACATCATGATTAACCCCTTCATCAATCCCAAATCCATAATTAAACTACTCACAACTCATAATTGATAAATCAACAGAATTGGGATGAATAGAAATAATTGTCATTAATTAAAAAGATTGAACTTACAAATTATCTCAGGTTGTTGAAGAACTATGCGTAAAAACAACGTAAAATTCATCCTTATGCCTCTCTATGAAGTTCGTAACCTCAAAATAGGGAAATAAAGACCTTATTTATAGAAAACAACGAATTCGGGCTGAATTGGGACTGATCTAGGGCACACACGGTGCCCACGCACGGCGTGCGTGGCGTCCGTGCGTCCGACTCCTTTGCGCATAATAATATTCCACGCACGGCGTGCGTACCCCCACGCCCGGCCGTGCGTGGCTGCCAGTAGCTGCTTCGAAATTCATCCTTGGACACACGGCGTGTGTACCCAGACGCACGACCATGCGTCAAACACCAAATTGTGTAGTTGCGTTTGCCACGCACGCACGGCGTGCGTCGCTGTACGCATGGTCGTGTGTGGCCTTAAATCATCGTAAACTTCGATTTCTTGCTCCAAACGCTCCCGAATGCTTCCGTGATCGATCTTAGAGCTCTTTCTTCATAAAAACTTCATTGTGAATCTCCCGGTGACCTCCAAAGCTCTCAATTCTCTCTCGGATGCATCATGACTCGTCCCGATTGTTTCTCAAGCGCCGGTGTCGGGCTCCAAAAAACCCGATTTCAACTCTAAAGATACCAAAACTCGAACCAACTCCCGATAAACATGACTTGAGCTAAAATCGAGACTAATAACACCCAAAAGCTTGGAAAACCATCAAAAGTCGATCCCAACACGCATCAAATGTGTGTTGTAATACGAACTTATCAAAGAGCTTCTCCAGTCGCACACCCTTGGCATTTAAAAAATGCCATATCATCCTTCTTTAACATTACGATGAGATAAAAAAAACATTACGATGAGATTTTGATTCACTATGCATGAATGTTGTCTCACGACGGTTCCCTTCACTGCATGACTCAGCAAATGTGAAGCATAACTGTTGGGTCTTATTTAGTTTCCCATTTATTAATTTGAATTAAATATATTCCACTTACAAAACTGCTGGATATCAACGAAATGCATTATAGAGCATTTGGCTGCTTTAGGATTTTAGGTATTGACGTTCACAATACATGGCTAAACAATACATACATGTATTGCCATGTGTCACAATTTTTAATGTTGTAAGCCTCCCATTAAAGATGCTCTAAGAGAGACGTCCCACTTTACATTTATTTTAAAAATTAAACCGTGAGCCAATTAGTTGATCTTAAATATAAATAAAAAAGAAGTTTACTCACACTACATACAAAAAATATTTTTGGGCTTATTTTTTTACCCTATTTTCTTGGCCCTAGGCGGTCGCCCCTATTGCACCCCCTAGGGCCGCCCCTGCCTCGTATTCCTGCCTTCCAAAATTATTTTTAGTTTTATACTTTGTTGTCAACAAATTTTAATTCTTTCATTTTTATCACCTCATTTTACTTTTTTGTCAACAAATTTTAATCACTTCAAGGTTTTCTTATGACGTGCAATAAAAAATTTAGTTAAATAGAATAGCTAAATTTATAAATATGTAAATTCTTATTACTATTGTTAAAGATTTTTCATTTAGATTTGTTTTAATCCCGTATTATAATTATATAGATCAAGTCAGACAAGGCAATAAACAAAAAGACCATACCCAAGTACCCAACTCACGTAATAGTAAACTACACATATACTAATAAGCTTTTATTAGATAAAATTTTAAACAGAACAGATCAGATTTACAAAGAACAGACTACAAAAAAGTTTTAGAACTCATTTAGTAACATTGAGATTGATTGAATAAGCTAAATATGCTGAAATTGATGATCTTTTAGTAACAAAATTATAAGAAAATTATGTGAAAAATGAATTTTGTAAGAATGAAGAATTATGTGAAAAAAAGAATTATGTGATACGGAGTAAATTAAGTGAAAAATAAATAGTGATCTATAGTAGTTTCGGTCAATTGTGTTCTAAAAGTACTTTCAATCTTATTTATTTTGATTATTACATAATTTAGTGTGTGAAATAAAAAATTGTGTATTCATGAAAAAAATTGACTAATAGGATAATAAGCTAAAAAAGAGTTACTAAACGAACTCATAATCTAGAGGTAAAAATATTATATTCACATGCTCTCCCCCGTCCCTTATAACATTATTATTGTTTCCTTTTTTATTATAAAATAAATCGTCTCTTTCTTTTTTTAATTTTATAATCATAGTTTTTATTTATACCTTTTAATTCCCACCTTCGCCCTTCATAACTTCATTTCCATCTCCTCTCCTAGTCCCAACCTTTCTCCCAAGTCAATTTCACAAACTAGAAACCATGATCAATAAAAATGTGCGACAGTGCGAGTTCCAAGTTGGGACAGAGATGATGTTTAGGAAGAATACATTGAAGCAAGTGAGATAAACCGATAGTGAAGCCTAGAGATGATTCCAGTCAATCGGAAGTGTAAGGTTGTTTTGAGAACCTAGATATTCTCTGCAACACATTAGAAGCATCATCACTTGTTTTAAGGACATTTAGAAGACAGTGAAATTGGTATTCTGCCCATCAAAGATATTTTCCGTTGGAAATTGGAATCCAGTAATGCCAAAACTTCCAAAACAAAATATAGGTATTTTCTAGGGCACAGGATAACCCCAAAGATTCTTGAGAGATTTCTGAGATGCGAGCGAATTATTCATGAGCTGGACAAATGTAGCAATTTTAAACATACCAGCCTTGATTCTAAATAGAATGTCCTCAGTCTTATTAATAGGAACTTCTTTAATGATGTCAACAATATGACTTGGAAGAACAGAGCTGATTTAGAAGTTCAGGTCCATCAGAATGGTCTGCTATAAATAATCTCAAATATGAGTCACCATAGTCATCTACTCAAAAGCAATTGTTACGCAAATATAGGAACACCCAAGAACAATTTCTTCCATAAGTTCCGAACAATAAAATAATTTTAAAACTTTACTCCCACGTGTAGCAGTATAATTATAAAGTATGAGAATGAATGCAATCCACACAGATGGTACCAAATATGGTATACGACTCTACAATTTTTTTACCATAGTAGTTCATGACATCACTTGGAAAACTGAAGTTAACATGAGATCACTTGGAAAAATGAAGATTAATCCCCCCATCATGAAACAGTGCATAAGCCGTCAGCATCAAGTGATCCTTGCACAAGTTTCATTAGAGTCAACTGGAGAAGTTTAATCAGCCCACCATGAAACAGGGCCTAAGCCGTCAGAATCAAGTGATCCCTGCATAAGTTTAATCAGAGTCAAACTGGTTTATGCAGAAAATAGAACAAGAACTTTCATGAGTAAAGTCTGCTATTAATCCGTACCGTAATAAGCATAGGGGCAAATGACTTTGATCCTTTATCTTGCTCTAAAGGTATTTGAGGATAGCTAACATTGTGAACTCGGAATCGTATCTGTGGAGGATTTACTTAATTAGTGCTTACTAGTTCGTAAGAAAACAATATATGTTTCGTATGTATGAGAGTCAGGATAATATTGAAATTTTATTCACACACACAATAACAACCTCATCAACGCCATCAATCAGGTATTCTTGTTCACTGTTGCCTTCGAACATCCACATCCACCGGACTTGGTTTCTAAACCAATTCAACAATAAATGCTCAAAACAGGATAAGGTTCTAGCTACGAAATGTAATTTTGCAAAGAGCAAAATATGCATACGGAATCTCAGGATCAGGCTCTGATTGTGAAGGAGTTGGCATCAAAGCAGCAGGCACATATATGTCGTCGAAAAACCCAAGGGATACTACAGACAACAACAACAACAACAACAACAAAAGGTAACATATATTTATGAGTATGATTTAATAAAAATCTAGGACAGGAGATTACTATGTTTCAAATCAAAACATCCTCAAGAAGTTGGATGGTCAAGTGTTTGAAAGGCAGACATACGACGTAAACCATTTGCATTGGATTCTTTCAGCCTTGCTGCTATAACTTCTCCTACAAATGGGCGAAACATTATCAGCCTGAATTTCACCTGTAAAACAAAAGGCAACCATGTTTGGTGTTATTGGCTGCGTGCAAGAAACAAGGTCAAACTCCTTATATTGTCTATAACATTATGAATTTGTACTGCTGACATCATAACTTAAGAAGTATAGTTCCAATATCCTCTGGGAGAATATTTTATTTTATGAAAACAAATCCTGCTGTACACAACAAATTGCAAATTTTTAAACTTGAGAATGCCTAATATCGAGCCTACATTGTTGACACAAATGCTAATCAAATTAAAAATTCATAATGCCTTCATCATCATCATCATTACCCCAGTGCCGCAAAGACTCCCACCTTTGGTGGGGTCGGATGTACACAGTCTTACCCCTGTACTAAAGCACAGAGAGACTGTACTGTTGTTTCTGGATGACCCATGGTGAAAATCGCATCAAAAGTTGCATGAACTGAATGTTGCTTCATAACAAAGAAATGCAGACAGTTTAGTGAGCCATTTTGCTTTATTCCATCATATTCCCAAGCCAAAAAGTGAGTCTTTGGCTCCATTGCAAAAAATTCATAATGCCTAATCAATAATATCAATTCACAAAGATATAATAAAAAATAAAAATGACAAAATAAGCTTTAAGAGAAGGTATAATAAAAATCCAATCACATCAATATTATGGCATGCATATAGCTTAGACCAATACCGTATATGTGGAAGCGCCATCTCCTGGGAAAATAAAACCGCCCTCAATGGAGAGAATGTCATAAACAGATATACAAAGCCCTAATTTTGCAATGACCTAGCTCAAAAAGTTATCAGAATTTCCCATCAATATATAGTTCAATATTGAAAGGGAAAAAGAAGGATGAGCTTCATGAAAATACACTACGTGAATAAAAAGCAAACCTTGTCAACGAAAAGACCTTCAAGCACTCCCTTTATAGCTTCATTGAGTGGGAGATTGAGAAGGCTGGGAGGCACTCTCATTGTGTGCTCAATTTCGCTCAGATAGAACATTTCTGCTTCCTCACTCACTGATCTCAAACTAAACAAGTTTAATCAGAACTCACAAAGTAAGAGCACATACCTGAGACCAAATGAAGTAATGATTGATTTTAACGTGCAACTCTGTTGTAAAGCATAGTGAATGTTTAATCATTTTTGAATGGTGAATCACTAATCGATTCATATCATACGATTCAGAAGCATATTGATTAAAGTCTGGATAACAAAATCCATACCCACATCATGAACAGAATGCCCAAAAGCTAGGGAAACTATCTATACCTTTATTTATAGTTCCCATTGCCAATTTAGCCTCTAAAACAGTAATAAAAAAATAAGGGTGGGATAAGATTGGCACCCATGGTGATGTCTAGAGAATCTAATGGTTTACAGTTGGATTTAACTTTCAGACTTTCGTTGTTTCAAATAAAAAGTATGGTGGGAGTAAGTATTATTCGATACAAATAAAGGGTTGGCTATCATATATTCATATGCATACCTTGTGCATATGCTAAGGTGCATTTGATAGTTGATACACTTACGAATATCTATAAATAGAAAATTTAAAGGGTCATACTCTAAACAGGCAGATCTAGCATTTTAATCCATAAAGTTTAAAGGTACATAACTTTAATTACAACAAAAAAGTAACATACAAAAACAAAAATTACATTTTCCATCATTTGCAATGGAGCCAAAGATTCATTATTTTTTGGCTTGAAAATATGATGGAATAAAGCAAAATGGCTCACTAAACTGTCTGCGCTTCTTAGTTATGAAGCAGCAGTCAGTCAATGCAATTTTGGACGCGATTTTCACTATGTATCATCCGGAAACAGTCTCTCTGTGCTTTAGTACAGGGGTAAGAGTGCGTACATCCGACCCCCCCTTACCCCACTGTAGGTGGGAGCCTTTGCGGCACTGGGGTAAATGAAAATGATGATGACAAAAACAAAAATTACAAATGGTTAATGAGAATAGGAGTTATCACCAAAGTTAAAAAGCACAAACACATCACAAATTCACAATTGTTCTCTACAGGTTCTTATAGACTCATATGATAATGATCAATGACACCACTGTCAACTTTTAGGGAGATTTTTTTCTATATAATAAGAAGCCTACATCGTTTCAGAAAAAGCTCTTTAAAGACTAGCTTTTGCAACAGGAAGAATCAATGCCAGATTAGATAATACTACAAAGGTCCTCGCAATCATATTTAAAACAATGAGATTAATACCTATAAAAGCTAATGAGAACTATATTAGGCAATGGAATTATTACTTACTATCGTATTAATATTAATGGGATAAATACTAACCTACCAATATTTGTATTATACAATGGGAATTACGGATTATTCCTACTGGCTACACCTGGGTTTATATGAACACACTTAATCAAGCATCATTGTTGTTGGGGGGGAAATTGAAAAAAAGTAACACTTTATTTAAAAAAGATATCACAGTTCCGAACAATTAACCACAAAAAGAAAAAAAACTACTTAATGATCAAAGCTCCTAACTTAATCTTCCAATTGAGATTAAGTTGCGGAGTTGTTCTTTACCTGGCTGAGTAACTGAGTCTGAATGTTCTGTAGCTTGAGGCGGTGCGGTGGAGCTGGCCGGTCCTGGCGGAAGCAAAAATGGGCCTAATCTCAAATTAAATGTCCTGGCTTTTTTTCATTGATAAAAAGGTAAAAAAAAAATCAAATAATTAAATAATCGTATACTTCGTATTAATTAAAGGAGGCTCAACTGCTCAAGGTTGGAGGAGACGAGGAATACCAGAAAGGGCGAGAGCCGAGAAGGCCAAAGGGGCAGCCGGGCAGGGCCGCAGCCGCGCAGGGAAGTAGCGGAAGGCTGTCCGCCGTCCACAGTCAGGTGATCAGCGGGTCGCACCTTCTTCCTTCTTCCCTGGCCGGCTTGGCGTTCGCTGTTGCCTGCTCGTCGATGTTGCTGAGAAATTTCCGGGCCGTGAAGAAACGAAAATGACTTTTACCGTGAGTAGAGGTTTCTAATTTACCCACTTTTTCGTATCTTGGACCATTGGGTCAATTGGGCCTTCTAACACGGAATGAATATTTAATGAAGTTTTCACATCATTTTTTTATCATTAAAACATGTCTCTATTTATATCAAAAGATTCAGGATCATTACATCAAACAAAAAGAAAATAAACTTGACATCAACTAAACTCCAAAAACTATGACTGTAAACCATATGATCAGACTTTGAGACGGTCACCCCTGAAAGAGCAACACGAATCGCTAATGATGGATAGTGTACCTGGGGTAGCTTATCCGAGGGGTTATTCGGGGAATAACGTAGAGAGAAGTCAGAGCAAACAAGCAAGAGAGAGAGAGCCAAGTATATTAAATGAACTTGTTCTGGGATACTTTACAAGAGGAATAAAGGCTTCTATTTATAGCAGCCATAAATGCGATGAGAGTACATGTGTCAACAATCTAACGGCCGAGGGGTCACCTCAATCGGGGTGGCACCGGCATTCGCATGTGCATCGCATTAAATGCGGTGGGTGGATGTGACGCCGCATTAAATGTGGTGGTTGTCTGTCCCCAAAGGGGATCTTCGATGATTGCGCTGTAGCCGAAGGCTCTCCTGTGGCCAAAGGATCTATGTAGCCGAAGGCTACCCTTCCGAGGGCGTGTATGAGCCGAAGGCTTCTGATTTCTGCCGTTTTCACTCATTAGCTTTGTATGCTCAAATGAAGGTGTCTTGCGGAATCTGGAGCCCTCGGCCATAGGGCCGAAGGCACCCATGTTTGCACCGTTGGCTTCTTAAGACTTGGGCCGTTGTGTTTGTGCTTTGTGTGCTCATTGGGTTTGATGGGGCTGAGTAGGAGAAGTAGGAGTCTATGGGGCGGGGGTCCCTGGGCCATATACTCCATCAGCTAACCATGTAGTGGGCTTGACACAGCCAAATATGTTCACATAGATCCAACCATACCAAAAGACATAAAGAGAGACTAAAAACTCAAACAAACTGTCAAAACCAACAACAAAGATGGACACAAGAAAACAAATGACAAACAAATAAAAATTACTAGAAAAACTTTCACGGAATTCTGCACCTCGTACAACTCATGGTGGTGGTTCAGGAGGAGGTCGTTCCACCGGTACCTTGCTAATTGATCCTCCATTGTCAAACGCAATCTGGCCTACTCGAAGTCTTTGCAACACTCCTCGTCCCGCACTCGTAGCTACATCACCCCTCACGACCATCTTCTTTTCCGTCGACCTCTTCTCCTCGACAAGAGAAAAAATGCTTCCCTGCTCTCGCCCGACCTCACAGTTAGCAATCAACACCGAAGTAACAACGAAACCTCGCTCGACTCCACCAAACAGCGGAAGCGGACTTCCGTGGATGAAGATCGTCGAGGAGAAACCCATCCGTCCTTCGTATAACCGAAGACGAAAAAAAGCTCTAAGGGCTGCGAAACCCTAAAGAGAAGTCGTATGTGCCCTAGGATGTAGAGTAAATTGAAAAGTTTTCACATCATTATTACTAAAAAGTAGATGGTTGATAAAAATGAAACTTTTTTGTTTTCCGAAAATGTGAGTAGTAATTACGGAGTATTAAATTTACTGAATTACTCCTAGTCTCTAGTGACTTTGTCTAATAGTTGCATTACCGCCAGGGGCAGAGGCGGAGCCATGATACTATAAAGGGGTGGGCCGGATTTGAACTAAACAACTTCTCAAATACGGGGTAAAAGTTTAGTAAGCAACTTAAGTTCAAAGTGCATCACAAAATTTATTACAACAAAATTACTACAAAGATAGTGCACCAATCATATGGAGTGGTCAATATTTTCTATAGTATCAAAATATGTAATATTTTATTATGTAATATTAACAAGTAAATCTAAAACCAACGTAAAGAAACAATTTAAATAATTTAATTTGTCATTGGGAGGCGGAAATCATAACAAGTCCGAGTTTTTTCCCGGAATAATGCTAATTAAATAAATAATTCCCAAAATACTGCCGGGTCAAGAATAATTCCCGAAATACTGCTGGTGTTAACCACGGTTAAGGACAGCCGCCACTCCAAGTGGCGGCTTTTGTGAAGCTGTACAAAAGCCGCCACTTGGAGTGGCGGCTCTTCTACTTCTGTATGAAAGCCGCCACTCCAAGTGGCGGCTCTTGTGGTAACGAACCTGCTGCAACATCATTCAGACAACTAAACCTATAATTACCAGAAAAACAGCTCATCACAAAATCACAGTCCATTCCATTCAAAAAAACAACCAAACATATGATTTACTAAGACAAAATACACCCAAAACATAAAACGAATGTCACGCTCCGGACCTAACCGGACACGTCAACAATCCGCCGTACAGTACGAATAGTCAACCGCAGTCCAACACATCCATACTATACAAGGCGTCTGGAATATCATTCACACATAGTACATCCATAAACAAACATAATGTAAAATATTCATTCATAGCAGCGGAAACATTCAATACGAGTATTCATGCCACACCTTGGCAAACATGGGCATACAAGCCCCCAAATAAATATTTAAAAATATAATATCCATGAGCATTAATTAAATAGTTTGTAAAATGGAAACGGAGGAAGCGCGAACCACGTCTCCTCTCCTGGATTCTCCCGAAAACAACGGCGGTGGTAGCAACCTTCAAGTTCTACCTGAAACTGTGAGGTGGCCTCCCCCGTGAAGGGAAGGTCAGTACTTGGAAGCATTTGACAAGTACAATGACAACTATACTAAGTATAATCAAAGTTTCAATTTCCAAGACCCTCAATCTAGGGTGTTATTGTATCAAGGTTAACTTTATTCGTTTAGTGTAAATTCATCATTTCTTACCACGGTCTAGAGCCCAGCTCAATAATCACCGTTACCTACTACGGTCTAGAGCCCAGCTCAATAATCACCGTCATCTACATCGGTCTAGAGCCCAGCTCAATAATCACCGATAACTACTACGGTCTAGAGCCCAGCTCAATAATCACCGTTATCTACATCGGTCTAGAGCCCAGCTCAATAATCACCGATAACTAATACGGTCTAGAGCCCAGCTCAATAATCACCGTTATCTACATCGGTCTAGAGCCCAGCTCAATAATCACCGATTCTTTACAATTCAATTTCTTAGGATCCATTCATCCATTATTCAACTACAAATCCAACTAATATTTCAATACTAGTTATTTACTCATTTCAATGCAATTCTTCATTAAATATGAAATTTGGCCTCAATATCAAAATATCACCTTTATTCCTTCATGTCTTCTTTTCATGAGATAAAAGTATACTTATCACAAATGGGATTTCATGGTTGATACTACCATCATGCCATCATAATCATAACATTTAGACATACACAATTTATTCAATAAATTTGTATATTATGCAACCTATACTTATAATCAATAGTAATTTCATTTAGGCATTATTAACCATTAATAATCCATGCAAATCACATTGTGTATTCATTTAGGAAATCTTATGAAATTAACCCAAAGATTATAAGCAATATAGTCGGTCATCCTCACCTTAAGTGAGCTTAAGCGTGTTCTACGCTCCGCGGTTGAACTTTGACTAATTCCGGTGAACTTTGACCAACTCCGGCCAACTTTGACCAACTCCGGCGAAACTCCGGTGATGCTCAAAGATACTCTAAATCAAGTTCCTAACAAGGTTTTAACATCATAAAACCTTAATCAATACACATAACCCTTAAAAGGTTATTTTCCGGTGAACCGGTCGGTTTGGCTTCTAAGTCCGTTCTTGGACTTAGAACTACTCCCCAACCCATTATTCCACACTATTGGCATGTAGAACAACCTCAAGGGTTGGCATGTAGAACAACCTCAAGGGTTCTCCATAAGATATGTATCTCATATGGTAGGAGAAAAATAGAGGAAAAGTTAATATAAGGTCATTACCTTAATCCTTCCACACTTTTAGCACCTTAGCTCTTTTTCTTGGGATTCTTCCTTGATGAACTCCCTTCAACAATGGAGGAGGATGGTTGAGAGCTCCCTTGGTCTTGCTGGAGGAGTGCTGGCCGAAATATGAGGGAGGGGGGTGGTACATGGTCCTTTTTGTCTCAATAGACCAATGAGTGTGGGTGGGAGGCCCACCTCATGTCTCTTTGATCCTTTTCCAATCAACCCAACATACCCCATCCTTCCCCTCTCAATTCAGCCGCCCAAGAATGGTAGAAATGTGGCTAAATTCGTGGGTTGGCCCCCACCCATGTGGGAGGTCAACCCTTTTTGTCCAAAAGTGTACAATCGGTCCCGAAAGTTGTATTTTTCGGGCTGTTTTAAATATATTTTATTTTATCGGGTCAAATAAAATATATTATGTGTTCTCAATAATTATGACCCTTATAATGAATATACATTTCCCAATTTTAATTTATAAGTCCCCGAAATTCAATTTCGGGCTTTTATCGGTTAAATTGCCAATACCGACATTTGGGCCTCTTTTGACCAATCGGTCAACTCTGGACCCTTCCCATGGCTCAAATGAGTTATCCCCTACCATATAAATATTATCTAGACCAAGATGAATAATTTATGTGGCCCCGGGAATATCGGACGGCCCCCGCTCCCGGTGCGGGCCCCACGTGCGAATTTACTATTCGTGCAAAAGAATTATTAAAAATTCGTAACATCATAAATTCGTTAACCATTCCATAAGGTTAAAATACAATATTCACTTAAAAGTAAATACACTTGGGGACGGTGTTACAAGTTCACCCCCCCTTATTTGGGATTTCGTCCCCGAAATCCACGTGTCTAATCGAAGAGAAAAGAGTATTGCTCTCTCATCGAGACCTCGGTCTCCCATGTTTCTTCCTCGACCCGATCACTCCTCCAAAGGACTTTCACCATAGGAATCTCCTTGTTTCTCAATTTCTTCACTTGTTGTCCCACAATTTTCACCGGTTCCACCGCATATTGTAGATCTTCGCGTATCTCTACCGGTGGCTTTTCAAGAATATGAGACGGGTCTCTCACGTATTTCTTGAGCATCGATACA